ACCGGATCCTAATTGTGAATATTATGATTTTCTGTAGGGTGCACTCACTAAAACACTGTGCAGGCGCCTTTTCTATTTTGAAAAGGTGATTTTATTTAAGATTTTGAACATTTAATGTCGTTAAGTATTAATAACTTGCATTGTGCAAAAAAAAAAAAAAAAAATATATATATATATATACATACAAGATAATTTAATGCTTTGTCTAAAATAGCCAATTCTCAATTATGTCCTGTGGTTTTGTACAAATTCATGGTAGCCTATCAGGGTTGTCTGTTTAAGATCGCCCTCTACTGACCAAAATATAAGTTACAGCGATAGAAAGAGGAGACGCATACTTTTATGATGTCATGTTATGTTTTGTTTTTCTTAATGTTTTTCTTTCATTTTAATGTGGGGGTGGTAACGGGATTGACACATAACCCGAGGACACAACTTTAAAGTATTTTTGAATAAATAATATATTTACTATTTTTCTCATATTTTCCCAAAATAGGCTATATAGCCTAGTTATTTTCAGGTTTTTAATGTAGGCTATATATTTGCAAATCGAGAACTGACAAAATCATTGTGTTTTTTTCTGTAAAAAGACACGGTATAGGCCTATAGCTTGGCTATAGTTTTTAATGTAGGCTATATATTTGCAAATCGAGAACTGACAAAATCATTGTGTTTTTACTGTAAAAAGACACGGTATAGGCCTATAGCTTGGCTAGCGTAAATATTGTAACGTGCCAGCTCTTTACTGAAGTGACACACAATGCCCACAATTTTTTTGAACATTTATACAATGATTTCATGATTCAAATGATTGCAAGTTCATGACATATGCTAATGAGGGAAGTAGGCTACATCTTGTGTTTATTATGTTTAAGAGGCCTAAATGTAATTAAAATATGTTCTTCATCTTAAATACGACTCGATGTGATATTTTGCTGCTTGGGATGTTCTTACAAACAATCGCACATTAGGACGATAGCCTACATTAAACAAGACATTTCAGCTTCTGGTCTCATGTGCGCCATCAGCAGGTCCTGCATCATCTCAATCATATTAGTGATCAGCGAGGAACAGTAGGCTAGCTAATAGAGGAAAATACAGGAGAAGGACGCATCATGCCCGGTATGTGTTTGGCTGATGAGATGACGGATAATCTTCAGATGAAAAACATGACTTTAAGTCTGACTATTACTGTTGTTTGATTGCGAGAAGGACGCGGTCCAGGTGAGCGAATCTGGTGCTTGGTGCAGGTGAAGGGTCCATCGGAGGTGACGGCAGCAGAAGGTAGGAGCTGACAGACATCTGGACAAAATGATGCACTCTCAGAGATTATTTTTAACGCTCTCCGTGGGATATTTTTAATGTTACAAACTCATAATGTACTCTCAGTTATATAGCCTATACGTTTAATGTGATATTTTAAATAAGGGCTTTTCAGACTTTTTGATGTAAGGACTCAAACTTTATGACCCCTTCAATATGTGACCCTGGACCACAAAACCAGTCATAAGGGTCAATTTAATAACTGATACATCATCACAAGCTGGTATTACATTGGTTTTGTGCTCCAGGGTCACTTTTGGCTATTGCTACAAATATACCCATGCTACTTATGACTGGTTTTGTGCTCCAGGGTCACATATATTAGCATTAGTATTTTTTATTAAGTATGCTATTTTAAAGTGATATTATATTAAAAATGTCTTAAAATTATATAAATGGCTTTTATATTGATTACTAAAGACAAAGCAAATTATTAAAACGTTTACTTTTATTAAAATGCACATTGTTGCACAAGTACAATTGAGCACAAATGAAGAGAAACATTTTAAGAATATATATATATATATATATATATATATATATATATATACACAGTATATATATTGACTTAATTTCATAATTGCATATTTAGTTTTTATTCCTTACTGTTATAAACTTTATTGCATTATTTTATGCATATATATACATGCAGTATATATATACACTTGGTTTTTATAATCACTTTGTTTTTTATAATCACTCAATATAATTGTTCCACTTTTTGAAGAAAAACCTTTTGTTTTGAGAAAACACTGAACTTTAAGATTTTCCTCTGTCTTCTGACAAACAACCTGTTGCGTTCCCCTAATTGTATTTTTGTCAAGAGCGTGGACGTGACAACATTATGCTAGTGAAGCAGAAATAGCCTGCTTGCCAAGATATTGCCATTCTGAGTATGAAATATTGTTTTGAGCCAGAATATAAAACTCAGAAATTAGGCCTAATCATTCAAACAGCTACACTCATAATTTGAAGAATGTCTGTGAATTAGGCAAGACTAATATACAGTTAATTGAGCGGCAAGCAGAATATTCCATTGACCTAGTCACTGAAACATGCACAAAATTGCATATTGCAGCTGGACTGCATGGCATGTCCTTTTTATAGCTCTGTACTATATAACAACTCAAATAGGCAACCACTATTTCGGCTTTTCGGATTCAGACTGTCAATCTATATTTAGAAGCTCTTGTGGCTCATAAATATTCATTGAGGTTTTAGTGCTTTCTTAAAAAAAGACGTCAGCGTGAGTTCCCAACAGTGAGTCAGAGAGTAGGAGGAGAGTGAGAGAGAGGGATGGTTGGTGAGCGTGAACTCTTTGATATTTTGATATGCTGATACCCGGGGGACCAGCACAGATGGCACCTGTTCTCAGAGGCACTGGCCACTCTCGCTGACTACTCAGTGTGTGATTTCCGGCACCAAATATCATACATGAATCTTCACATTTGCACTGGGGGGGTTCGGGTGCCATTTGTCTAAATAAATAAATAAACAATTAGCTAAGTGTTTGGTCAGTATCAGAATTATGACATATGTTTCTGTTAAAGGTGTTAACAAGAGAATTGCATGCCCATACTTTTAGATTGAATTTGATTAAGCAGATGGTCCCTGCTTCTAAGTGCGACCTCTGTGCATATTAAATAAAATAGAAACAAATATGATGCAATTAACTCATAAACAGTGCACATACACTGCAAAGCAAAACAATGGCAATATATAATTGAATACAACATTTTATGCTATAACATGATCTACTGAAATTGTGGGCACTGGCCACTCAGATTGAATATATTTGAACATATTATGTTTAACAAGACAATTCATGTACTTTTACAGTGAAATATTGTAAAAGCCTTTTAAGTTGTAGCTAAGTACACTTTCAGAAAAAAGGTACAAAAGCTGTCACTGGGGCGGTACCTTTTCAAAGGGTACTAATATGTAAACTTTAGACAATAATATGTATACTTTCAAGGTACAAATATGCATCCTTTAGGGGTACAACATTTTATCGTTTGAAAGGGTACTGCCCCAGTGACAACTTTTGTACCTTTTTGTTTTTCTGAGAGAGTATAAAGTGCAAGTCACATTTTAATTTATGGTGAAAAACATACAAGTTATGTTCCCAGATGTTCCCAAAACGTGACAAGTCACAACTGATTATATTTTTTATAGTCCTATTTTTATTATTATTTTGTTGTCAGTACATTCAGGTATTTTTGTTACATTTTTCGATTGTTTAGTTAATGTTTTTCCTATTAGTCTATAGGCCTATTAGTTTTACTCTGGTGGTGTCTTATGTTTACATGCTAGGCTTTATAAAACCTTAGTCAGATAAGAGGACATCCCTAACAGGGAACTTTCTCATAACTGTCACAAACATTTTTTTAAAGTTATATAAATGTTAGGACAAAATGTTTGTATAACTTTAGGCTATTAATAGCCATTAATAGCCTATTTAATAAACATTCTCATAATGTTGAGAGAAAACGTTCAGAACAACTTTCTCTGGACGTCCATACGATGTTATTTGCAATTGATTATCATAATGCTGAGAGAAAATGTTGGTTTTTGTAACCTTTATAATACGTTACAATCACGACACGAAAGCTAAATGTCAACGAGTTAAAAACATTTCAAAACAATGTTCCCACAACGTTTTTGTAACCTAAATTTATGGCATACAGTACATAGCCTAATGCGAAAACGATTTTTTTTCTACTGAAAGTTTTTTCCCTCTCTCTGTGAAAAATTTTCAGATGTTGTTTAAAAAAACAATACAATCCATTGAACGCACTGCACTTCCATCCTTACAGACTCCTTTCATTCCTGTCAACAACAAAAAAATCAACATAAATTGATTGAATATTACAGTTTTTCTCAGTCTCTTTGGTGCATTTCTCGAATCATCCTTAATATTTGCAAAAATGTATGTGCATTTCTCAAAACAATTCGTACAAACAGCACCACACAATGGATTACCTGCAAAAGCCTGTAACTTACTCAAAATCTTTAGTTCATCTCTCAAAAGTAAGTATTTATGTCAATGAACATATCAGTGCCATCACAATGAAAAGTACTTGTGCAATTGTTCACAAACAAGACAGCCAAAATGCTTAGTCATGTTGTCAATATAACAGTGCACTTTGTTAGTATTACCTAAAGTAAACTATGGCAGCATTTTGGATGACAGTTACTGTATTGAACAGTATGCCATATGCTTATGTATGCCATATATCCATTTAAAAATGTACAAATTTACTCTTTACGGTATGTGGGATATTGATTGAAAGAGACTGGATATAATTCCCAGTTACACTTTACTAGTGGTCTGACCAGAAAAAATAAATACCACACATTACAATGTCATTGTGATATAGAAAAGGAAAAATAAATATGGGCAAAAAAATGAAAAAAAAAAAAAAAAAGAAAGTCCATTGTTAGAATTTATAACTCTCGTGTTGTCCTCTGTCTATACAAAATATGCTTTCCAACTGAAGATTCATGAGATGAACCTTTGAGCTATTTCAGAGAAATGGTTTATCAATTCTCTTCATTAGTGAAAGTCAAGATTCACTTGCACAATTCATGCTAAATTTACAAAAAAAAGTCTAATTATAATGTGTAAAAAATGTGCTCGACACTTTATGACAACCAGTTCAGCCATTTTGCATTTA